CATTTTTATGTGAATGTCAGGACTATCTTATATTGCCAACTGCACACATAAGTAAATGTGTGATTATTTTTATTGGATGTGGGGAACAGAAGGATTTCTCTTAAGCTGTCTCCCCAATAATATGTACCAGACTTAGCTGCTTGAGTATGACTGTACATTAGGCGGTCAGCGAAAGTAGGTCAGAGGTTATTCTCCTTAACATCAGCCATCTAGAGCAACCAGACTGTATAGTCTGACTCACCCTAAGTAAGGCCCACTCCCTTCTGATAAGGATAGTAGTTGTCTGTTTACTTGTAGGAGATAACAGAGAGGGCAAACCTGCCCAAGGATGACCAAGGTTACGTAGCCATTATGAATCTAGAGTTCGCCCATCTTGTCACATGTGTAACCCTAGACCTTCCCATTCCTATGGGCACACCCCTAGGTCATCCCCCTCCTATTGATTGTATTGCCTATGTTGCTACCCCTCCCTATGACATAGGTTACTGTCTGCTATCAGGGGGGTTGCATGCCTCCCAGGATAGTAATTGTCTGTTTTATTGTATGACACACCAGAGTGATCAAACTTGTTCAAGGATGAATTGTATTGCCCCTTTCTGTGATGTATGATTCTGTAATCAGATCCCCCTAACGTGATATGATGCATGGTTAGCAATAAATAATGAGGCTCCCTGGTTCTCGGGAGGGTGGCTGAGGAGGACGAGGCAGCTGCTTCTACTTTGGTGGCTAAGTCCCCTCTATGAGGACCATCAAGCTGGGCTGAGGTGAGCGATGCTACTATGAATTGCGTCTGACTCCATTACTTGACTCCATCTTTTAACTCTCATGCTCTCTATGACTTTACTATAATCTTTACTTGTTATCGCTGTGCAATTGCGCCTACCGAACCCATGATTTTTTGTGGGGTTCCCTCTCCCCTTTAATCCCACAATTGGAGTGATACAGTGGCTAAGCGCTGGGCTGCTATTTTTCATAGAGTTTAAATCTACCTGGTGGCAATGCTTTCTGTGTGTGTGTTTTTAACGCTATCCTGGGAACATGGAATTTTAGAAATAGAGAATTTTGCATGAACATTGTAAAAGTCCCCTTGTGTAATGTTCTAATTGGTTTTTTTTAACTTGTCAAACTTTTTAACCATGTTTGGTTAAACTCAAGTTATTTGTAATAAATGGCACCCTCATTAAAATGCTTTTCTCAGAGTTTGTGTTGTGAAGTAGCCTTACAAAAGGGTCCAGTCTTTTCACTTTAACAATCACCAAAGACTCTTGGAAAAGATCCAGGCATGTCCTGCCTTGTGGCTAGTTGCACTTTCAAGCAATCAGAGTGGAGAGAAGCTTCCAGTATATTTCTTGTTGTTAAAAGAAACACACAGGTTTGATTTGGTAATCTCTTGGAGTTTGATTCCTAAAGTTGGTTTATTAATATGACTTTCAGTGCACAGGAACAAATTATGAGGATTAAAGATATGGGGTGATAGACCTAAAGACTTACCTTATGATTGTATTGTAGCTTTAAAAAGTTTTAAATGCCTCTTTTGAGGAGGTAGGGAGCTTTGGGTGTGTAGAGGTTACTCTTTGGGCTGCTGACTACCAGGTCAGCCGTTTAAAACCATCTTCCACTCTTTGGGACAGTAGCTTTCTATTCCTTTAGAGAATTACAGTTTTGGAAACCCACAGGGGCAGTTCTACTCTGTCCTGCAGGGTCACTATGCATCAGAATCAACTCCATGGCAGTGAGCTTGGTTTTTGAGAAGGTAGTATAAAAAGGGAAAAGATACTGAAATTTTCACTAGAGGAAACACATTCAAGTTTGGAGTTGCTGCATGGACAGATTCTATGGGCAAAATATTGGACGATGCAGGAAACATGAAAAGAAGATGCAAAAACATACAGAGTCACCGTGCTAAAGAGAATTAGTCAACATTGAGCCATTCCACTGGTCCTGAGGGAGGAAGTCCAAGCTGCACTGAAGACATTCGACAAAAACAAGACTCCAGGAATCGACAGAATACCAGTTGAAACGTTTCAACAAGCTGATGAAGCCCTGGAAGCCCTCGTTCATCTATGCCAGGAAATTTGGATGACAGCTACCTAGCCAATTGACTGGAAGTGATCCAGCTCAAGAAAGGTACCCATTCTCAAGAAAGGTGACCCAACAGAATGTTTGTATTATAGAACAATGTCTTTAATATCACATGCAAGTAAAATTTTGCTGAAGATCATCCAATAATGGTTGCAGCAGTACAGAGCTGCCAGACGTTCAGGCCAGATTCAGAAGAGGGTGTGGAAAAGGGATATCATTGTTGATGTCAGATGGATCTTGACTCAAAACAGAGAATACCAGAAAAATGTTTACTGTGTTTCATTGACTATGCAAAGGCATTCTCAACTGTGTGGACCTTAAACTGTGGCTAGCCTTGAGAAGAATGAGAATCTCAGAGCACTACATTGTGCTCATGCAGAACCTGTACATGGATCAAGAGGCACTTGTGCACAAGGGAATACTACATGGTTTAAAATCAGGAAAGGTGTGTGTCAGTGTTGTGGCCTTTAATTATACTTATTCAATCTGTGTGCTTAGACACTGGCTTGCAGGAAGACTTATTACCAGATTTTGACATGCAGAAGACACAGCATTGCTTGCTGAGAGTAAGAAGGACATGAACCACTTGGTCACTGAGGATCACGGATTGCAGTCGTCAGTGTGGATTACAATTCAATGTAAAGAAAATCAAAATCCCCCTAACTTGACCAATAGGTAACAACATGATAAATGGAGAATAGGTTTAAGTTTCAGGGACTTTATCTGGAAGCAGCAGTCAGGATATCAAATGACACACATGTATTGGGTAAATCTGTAGCACAAAAGCTCTTTAAAGTGTTAAAGAGCAAGGATGTTACTCTGTGGACCAAGCTGTGGCTGACCCCAGCCAAGGTATTTTCAATCACCTTATGTGCATGTGAAAGGTGAACGTTGGGTAAGGAAGACCCAAGAAGAATCGATGTATTTGATGCTGCTGGTGAAGAATATTGCAAGTATCACGGAAGTATATATTGCCAAAAGAATAAACATCTGTCTTGAAAGAAGTCCAGTCAGAATGCTCCTTAGAAGCAAGGATGAGGAGACTCTCATGTGCTCCGGGCATGTTTTCAGGAGAGAGAGTTCCTGGGAAAGGACATGATGCTGGGTAAAGTAGCGGGGCAATGAAAAAAAGGCCGTTAACAAGTGGATTGACTCAGTGGCTTCAACGTGGGCTCAAACCTAAGAACAATTGGTCAATGTTTTGTTCTGTTGTACACCCTGGGTCAGATCTGACTTGACCGCACCTAGCAATAACAACAACAACAAAGTATAGTTCCAGATCAAACCTTGAAAAGACCCTGAAGAGTATAAAGTTAAATCCGTCTCTTGGTCAGCAGATTGTTTGAGAATCAACTGGCATTGCCATTCTGGAGAGCAGTGTATATGGATGCAACAAGTATTTATATTTAAAATATATCGTTTCTTCTTTTTTAAAACAATGAATTACTGAGATAATTCAGTTTATTGTGCCAACCGGGCCGATAAACACATGTGGGGTTAATTAAAGGGTAGGGAGATAAATGGCTTGGTGAACCTCGCCTTTCTAGTTCTTGGGTCTCTTGCTTTCTGATGGTTGGACCAGGGTGCAGCTGCCTTAGCCAGTTCCCTGCTTCAGCTGGCAAGGCTCACTTCCTGTAAGACATCCCTGATGAGAAGCCGCATGGACCTACCCCGATGCAGCCCTGGGTACTGGAGCACCCGTGTGGAGACCCCTGCCAGTGCTGAGATGCTTACACGTTCACTGACTCAGCTTTCCTCCTGCAGTCGGCATCATTGTGTGTGTTTTATGAGATGGAGGAGGACTTGGTGGATTGGTGTTGGACATATGGGCTAATGTTGGACTTGTGGACTTGGGCAGCACTGGGTTGGGATGTTTTCTTGATGTGCAGTTACCCTTTATATAGAACTCTCTGTTATACATATGAGTTTCCGTGTATTTGTTTATCCAATGTACCTAGACTAACACAATTATCAACATACTATGCATCTTGTTCTGAGCCTGGCGTTTTTTCCTTTAATCTACTAACAATATCATATTTTGATTGAAAATACATTGTTTCCACAGTCTTAACAACTTACCTGAATTTTAAGGTAATCTGACAGTTATATTTTATGAAATGCAGTATGTACATTAATACCCAGTCTGTAATTATTCTTTTTCATGAATGCGTGTGAGTCCATTGTCTGTCCAACAAAGTTCTTTATGAGTTGGAATTGAATCCATCGCAGTGGTTTGTTTTTTGTATTGTTATATCCTTCACTAGGGACCTGAGGAGCCCTGTTGGTGTAGTGGTTATGTGTTGGGCTGCTAACTGCAAGGTCAGCAGTTCAAAATCACCAGCCACCGTGTGGGAGAATAATGAGGCTTTCTACTCTTGTAAAAGTGTATAGTCTTGGAAACCCACAGGGCATTTCTACTCTGTGCTATAGGGTTGCTTTGAGTTGGAATTGACTTGATGGCAGTAAGATGGTTTGTTTTTGGTTATTGTTACACATCTAGGTTATTTACATTTAGTTCTTAACAATCAAAACTATAGCTAAGACATGCACACATATGTATATAATACACACGTATATGTATGTATAAGGTACTGTCCAGTAAGTATTGAACTGCTAACTGCGAGGTTGGGGGTTTAAAACTACCACTGCTCTGCTAGAGAAAGATGGGGCTGTCTGTCTCAGAAACCCTTTACAGGGGTGCTGAGAGTTGGAATTAACTCGAGGGCATTGAGCTTTTCTTTGCTTTTTAAAAAAATGTACATGTGAAATGTATAATATTGCTTTGTTTTAATCTTTGATCAACTTAATTTTAAAATGTTTATCCATATGATTTACTCAGAATAGTACAAGTCACAAGGACATTTGGACAACAGTGACTCGCTGCTAATATTTTGTCATGTTCTTATCTTTCTAGGTAAAAGTTGATGCTGGGACCCTCCTTCTTAGTACACACCGACTGATTTGGAGAGATCAGAAAAACCATGTAAGTCAGCTCTTTGCATCTGCTGTAGGTTTTAAACCACTGAGATTTGTTTGCTTGCTTTACTTTTGGCAAAACTATAACTGGATAAAATATATGTTCATTTTCAGAATTTCAGTTTTACCCTGTCCTATAGGGTCACTATGAGTTACTATGAAATCTCACTGGATGGCAGTTAGATTTTGTAGTATTAAATTAAATGACGAGGAGGGGTGAGGGGCCAGCCCCCACTGCTAATACTACTAACGGGTTCAGTAATGCACAATTGTACGGTTGAGATATATAAGTATTATATTAAAGTCATCGAGAGCATGAGAGATATTACAATGATGCAAACAGACACATTACATGGTAGCATAGCTCACCTCAGCCCAGCTCGGTGGTCCACGTGGAGAGAGGGGGAAGGGAAGGAGGGCAAGGGAACAGGGAGAGAGGACGGGAGAGGAGAGGGGTAGAGAGGGGAGCCAGAGAGAGAGGTCAGAGAGATCAGAGAGCTTGGAATTGCTGACCCATGCCTATATACCTTTGGGGAACATGCCAACCCACCAATTACAGGTAGAGACATACGTCACAGGAAGGGGTTACACTATAGGTTACACAGTAATCGGGGTGGTCCAGGGGGGTGGTCTCTGGGTCTCCATAGAACCATTATCAGTAGGGTGAAAACTCCACCTACAGGAGCCTGTCCATTGTCCCCAGAGGCAGGGAGCAGGGCCCACTGCAGTTTAGCAACTGATTGCCCTCAGGCGGGGGATGCCTGTGCATCTGACCTCCCTCCACAAGATTTCAGTATTTTTGGTTAAATGTTGCATGTGTTTAGAAGTGAAATACAGAAAACGACAAATAAGAAAAATTTCCCATTTAATACACTCCTTAAACTGAGTTTGATTTATCTGTTGAGTTGTTGTTTTCCATGGAAGTAAATATTACATATAAATTTTTTCCAAATATTATTTTTAAAAAGTACCCTTCCATTCATACTCACTAGGGATGTCTATTATCAGAAAAATGTAAAAGAGAAAGTAGTGGTGAGAAGGGGAGAAACTGACCTCACTGGGCTTTGTTGATGGCAATGTACAGCTGCTTGGCTGAATAGTTTGGCAGCTTTTTAAAAATTTGGCCATGGCTTGAAGAGAAACAAGTGGCCATCTAGCTGAGAAGCAACAAAGCCCACATGAAGAAGCATACCAGCCTGTGCGATCATGAAGTGTCGATGGGATCAGCTATCAGGCATCCAAGACCTAGAAAAAAATCATACCAATGTGAATGGGGCGGGGGTGGGGGGTAGGCGTGGAGTGGAGATACAAAGCCCATCTGTAGACAATTGGACATCCCCTCACAGAAAGGTCACAAGGAAGAGATGAGCCAGTCAGGGTGCAGTTTAGCACTGATGAAACATACAACTCTCCCCTGTTCTTTAATGCTTCCTTCTCCCCACTATCATGACCTCAATTCTACCTTAAAAATTGGATTAGACCAGAGCATGCACACTGCTACAGATAAGAGCCCGAAACACAGGGAATCCAGGATAGATAACCCCCTCAGGGCCAACAAGGAGAAGAGATCCGGGAGGATAAGCGGAAGGTCGGGGGAAAAAGAGGGAATCGATCACAAGGATCAACATATAACCCCCTCCCAGGGGGGAACAACAGAAAAGTGGGTGAATGGTGTCAGAGGACAATGTAAGATATGAAAATAATAATAATCTATAACTTATCAAGGGCTCATTAAGGAGAGTGTACGAGGGAGGGAGGGGGAAATGAGGAGCTGATATCAAGGGCTCAAGTAGAAAGAAAATGCTTTGAAAATGATGATGGCAGCATATGTACAAATGTGCTTGACACACTGGATGAATGCATGGATTGTGTTAAGAGATGTAAGAGCCACCAATAAAAGTATTTAATCATTAAAAAAAAAATTCGGCCATTGAATTCCACTTGAGTCAGTGATTCCACTCAGGTATCTTCCCCAAAGAATGGTAGGATGTGGCACGATGGAATAGTACTCAAATAGTACTAGAGGAATGGTGAGAGGAATACTCTGTGAGAGGAGTACTCAAACAGTGAGAGGAAGCTCTGACCCGTGCTATGACGTAGATAAACCTCGAAAACATCATGTCAAGTGAAGTAAGCCAGACACAAAAGGACTAATATTGTGGGAGATAAATCACCCCAAAACTCCAAAATTCACTGCTATTGGGTGAATTCCAACTCATAACGCTCCAATAGAGGGTAGAACTACCCCGGTGGGTTTTGGAGGCTGCAACTCTTTACGAGAGTAGAAAGCCTCGTCTTTCTCTTGAGCTCAGCGGCTGGCTGGTGGTTTCTAACTGCGGACTTTGAGGGTAGGAGTCCAGTATGTAACCCACTATATCGCCAGGCTCCTAGGAGATACCTAGAAAAAGTAAATGCAGGAGACAGAAGGTGTAACCAGGGCCAGAGAGCGAGAGGAAATGGGAGTTGTTGCTGAAGGGGACAATAAGTTACTATGTAAGGTGCTGAAAGACTTAGAAATGGATAATGGTGATGTTGCACTTCATATGGTGAGTGTAATTAATGTCATACAATTGTACACTTTAAAAGGGTTAACATGCCAATTTTTGTTGTTGTATATATGAGGGGGTACCCAAAATAAAACAGAAAAGTGCCGATCGGCGGAGCTTTCATAGTACGCATTTTTCCCGCTAGGCCAGCATCCAGCTACTAGCTCTGAGTTAGTGCACCCAGTGGCGTCGCCTGGGAAGGTTCTCTCTGGTCACAGTGAATTTTTTTGGTAAAAGCAGTTTTGCCTCAAACCTTGTTTTTTGTGATGACTGATTTAAGAGAATAGTGTGCATCTGTGAAATTTTGTTTCCTGCCAAGAAAAAGTGCTGCAGAAACTGCTGTGATGTTGAACACAGCTTACAACGACAGCGCTATGGGAAAAACTCAAAAGTATGAGTGGGCTTCTCATTTCAAAAAAGGTGAAATGTCCATTGATGACAAACCTCATTCTGGACGTCTGTCAACTTTCCAAAGGGATGAAAATGTTGCCAAACTTGTGCACTTGTGCTCGAAGACTGATGACAGACCATTGAAAAGATGGGGAAGTTATCTGGACTGTCTTGGTACTTGATTCAGTGAATTTTAACAGAAGATTTGGGAATGAGAAGGGTTGCTTCGAAATTTGTGCCTTGAGTTCTGATTGACCATCAAAAAGAGCATCAAGTGAAACATGCCGTGCTTTGAAAGAACAGGTAAGAAGCGACCCAGATATTTTCCCCAAGGTCATTACTGGTGATGAGGCATGGTGTTATTCTTACCACCCCAAAGCAAACATCAATCAATCCAGTGGAAAACGCTATCGCCACCCCAAAGAAGCTCATCAAGTGAAATCAAAGATCAAGATGAGGCTCATTTGTTTTTTTGATGGGAGGGGCATGGTGCCTTTGGAGTTCATTCCAACAGGTCAAACTGTTAATCAAGCTTTCTATTTAGAGCCTCTGAAAAAATTGTGTAACTGCAACAAAAAAGGCCTGATTTGTGGCAGATGGGGGACTGGTTTTGCCACCACAATGCACCTGCTTATGCAGCCATCTCCGTGCATCAGTTTTGGCAAAAAACAGCACCCTCTCTTGCCCCATGCACCTCTACTCATCTGACCGTGCAACTGCTTTTTGTTTCCGTGAATGAAGAGGAACATGGAAGGACAGCGATTGGTTTAAGTAGAAGAGGTGAAGGAAACCACGAGGGAAGTGCTGTCAGTCATCCAAACAGATGAGTTTAAACAATGTTTCCAAGAATGGAATTGCAGATTTGACAAATGTATTAAGTGTGATGGAGAGTACTTTGAAAATGATAAGGTTGTTTTGTAAAAATAATTAAATACAATAGCTTTGTAAAAAAATTCTGATTTTCTTTGGGTACCCCTTCATATGTTACCACAGTAAAACTAAAGTGAAACGTGTACATACTACAGAAACAAAGCACCGTATATATTCAAGTATAAGCCGACCTGAATATCAGCTGAGGCACCAAATTTTACCACAAAAACTGCGTTAAAAATGTGCTGGAAAATGCGGCTTATACACAAATACATACGGTAGTTACAGATGCCTTTGCTCCCAGCAAAGGTGTTTGTTTTCCCTCGGACTATTGCTTTTTTTAGTTTTTCTGTAAGTTTATTTAAGGAACAAAAGGACATTTTAAATATTTTCATTAAGTACCTTGTGGACTTCAAACTATCCAGAACCAGCATGTCTGATGAATCTTGATCTTTATTGATTTCTTCCTAGGAATGCTGCATGGCCATTCCTCTTTCTCAAATTGTGTTCATCGAAGAACAGGCAGCGGGAATTGGGAAAAGGTACGATTTCTCTCATTGTTTCCCAAAGTGGGCGATACCCCCCCAGGGGGTGGGGGTGGGGTGCAGGCACAGCAATACAGGCATGATCCAGAAACCGAAGCTCAGCGCTCACTGCCATCGAGCCCATGTGACCCTACAGGGCAGGGTAAAACTGCTTCTGTGCATTTCCGAGACTGTAGCTCTCTATGGGAGTAGAAAACCTCCTTGTTCTTCTTCAGGGTGGCTCATGGTTTCGAACTGCTGACCCGTCTGTTAGCAACCCACTACGCCACCAGGGCTCCATTTCTCTAGATTCAGAGACAAAAGCTTTACTTAGGGTAAATCTAGATCTGCTACCCTGTAGGTTCCAAGGCAATGGTTCTCAACCTTCCTAATGCCGTGACCCTTTAATACAGTTCCTCATGTGGTGGTGACCCTCAGCCATAAAATTATTTTCGTTGCTACTTCATAACTGTCATGTTGCTACTGTTATGAATTGGGCGGCCCCTGTGAAATTGTCGTTCGATCCTCAAAGGGGTCTCGACCCACAGGTTGTAAACCGCTGTTCTAAGGTGTGTGTGCATATGTGTATATGTATTGGTCACTTTATAATCTAAGCTAATGATACATCTTTCATTTGGTGGATGATAAATTTGATTACATATAGTAATTGAATGACCCAGTAAATGGGTACCTATATACTCAAGTATAAGCCAACCTGAATATCAGCCGAGGCAACTAATTTTACCACAAAAACTGCATAAAAAATATGCTGAAGCAGAACAGCAGGGAGAACAGAGTGATGAAATCCCCAGGGAATAACAAAAATAGACTTGGGAGACAGTGTGGCAGCCCATCAGACTCGACTGGAAAACACTCGTGAAGGCCAACAGACCTTGAACTGTTTACAGGCTTTTCCATTTGTCAGTGGCTTTCTGTTATTGTTATTTTGTTTTGTGTTGTTATTGATTTGTGGGTTTTGACTTCCTTCGTTGTTTTATTTGGCTTTGCCTGGTTTTTGCACTTATTAATGTATCTGCATGTCTATCTAGATAAGATAGGCAGGATAAATAATTTGGAGTTGAAAAGAATGGGACCAGTGATTGGGGGGGGGGGTGTGATACGGAGAAGGGGAGGTGGAAGAAAGGAAGGGGGGCGTGGGAAACCAACTCAGGGACAAGGAAACAACAAATGAACTAAAATCAATGGAAGGAAGGTTGTAGGATGCCTCGTGGGGCTCAATCAAGGCAATGTAGCAGTGAGGAATTACTAAACCTGAATGAAGGCTGAACATGATGGTGTGAAAAGAGGAAAGTAAAAGGAAATAGAGAAAAGAACTAGGAGGCAAAGGACATTTATAGAGGCCAAAATACAAACATGTACATATGTAAATATATATATTAACAAGAGAGGAATAGAGCTATGTACTCATATCTATATGTCAAGAATTAAGGTTGCAGATGGGACATTGGGCCTCAACTCAAGTACTCCCTCAACACAAGAACACTTTGTTCTAACAACCCGGCATTCCCTGATGCTTACCTTCCCTGACATGATTGCTGAAGACAAAATGGTTGCATAAGCAAATGTGGTGAAGAAAGTTGATGGTGCCTGGCTATCAAAAGATAGAGCATCTGGGGTCTTAAAGGCTTGAAGATAAACAAATGGCCATCTGGCTCAGAAGCAACCAAGCCCACATGGAAGAATTACACCAACCTGTGTGATCATGAGGTGTCGATGGGATCCAGAACAAAATCATACCCAGTGTGAATGAAGGGGGGGCACATGGTGGAGAACCAATGCCCATCTGTCGACAATTGGACATCCCCTCACAGAGGGGTCACAGGGAAGAGATGAGCCAGTCAGGGTGCAGTAAAGGACCGATGAAACATACTTTCCTCTAGTTCTTTGGTGCTTCCTTCACCCCACTCTCATGACCTGAATTCTATCTTAGACCATAACATGCACACTGCTACAGATAAGAGCCCACAACACAGGGAATCCAGGATAGGTAAACCCCTCAGAGCCAACAATGAGAGTAGAGATACCAGGAAGATTCAGGGAGGGTGGGGGGAGAAAGGGGAAATCGATCACAAGGATCAACTAGAAGCTCCTCCCAAGGGGACAAATAACGGAAAAGTGGGTAAGGGTGACAGGGGACGATGTAAGAGATGAAAATAATAATCTATAACTTTCCAAGGGTTCATGAGGTAGGGTGGACGGGGGAAGGAGGGGGAAGAAATAGGGAGCCGATATCGGGCTCAAGTGGGAAGAAAATGCTTTGAAAATGATGATGGCGGCATATGTACAAATGTGCATGACACACTGGAGGAATGTGTGGATTGTGATAAGAGAGGTAAGAGCCCCCAATAAAAGTATTTGGGGAAAAAATGTGCTGAAAACTAGGTTTATACATGAGAATATATGGTACATGCAAAAACAGCATGGTTTTTATTTTATGATTCCTTGGGGATTTTTAGGTTTATTTTGCTTCATAATCTTTTAGCTTCTCATTAGCTTTCCTTTGGCAGAATCTGATAGTAGGGCTTGGCTGTTTTCGTTTTACAGAATGTTGATGGATGCTTCTCATCAGGCTTCCTCACCCTAAACTGTCATAGTTTTGGTGCTTAATGGTCTATTTCGAAAAGCCCTCTGACTGCTGGGCCAGTTTATGTGTTCCCCTTACTTAGTAGTGTTCACTCCCCAGAAGTACAGCTGAAGCGGTCATCCGGGGCTGGCCCCAGTTCATTAGCCAAAGCACTCATTATATTGAGAAAGGGCCACGACGTGGTGTTTCCATTTGACAGATATTCAGGCGGATATCTAAGCCTGAGGAGCCGTGGTGGCGTAGTGGTTTCACATTGGGCTATTAACCACAAGGTCAGCACTTCAAAACCTCCAGCCTCTCTTATCAAGAATTATGGCCTCGGAAACCGCATGGCCAGTCCTGCTCTGGCCTAGAAGGTTGCCACGAAGCGGATGTGGACTCAATGGCAGAGCGTTTGAGTTTATATGAGCCCAAACAAAGAAAATTAAAATTGAGTGAAAGGTGTATGTAAATGTGATCAAAAAGAAAAAGCTCTCAATTAGTCATCCAAGATATTTTGGCTGCATGAATGTTTTGCATTTTGAAAGATCTTTTATTGAACAGGATGACCAAAAAAAAAAAAAAAAACCCAACAGAGGGATGGAAAGGAAGGAAAACCGATTTATAAAGGCAGACAAACATAGTGGTATTTTTCATAGCAATAGATGATAGTGGTGGTCAGAGAGATAATGGCAGTTTGTGGTCCTGTAGTAAAAACAATTTTGAGAATTGGTTTTGCTTTTGGGTATCTTGCCAGAGCATGCTGTTGATTGAGTGGCACGTTTCAACAAATGACTGTAGAATGTTAGTTTTGGATGGAGTTTTAATACGTCAGCCAGCCAGCTTTACACAGATAAGTTTTCACATTTTGTTTTCAAATGAATAAGGTAGTGTGCTTTGGCAGATATTATAAACCCTCTTGGAAACTCAGGGGATGATGGAAAACTCCAATTATGTACCGTCCCAAAGTTAGCAAATTCACATTGAACTTATTCTCTAAAACCGCATTTGTGTTTAATTCAAAGAGCCCGTAATGGGAACTCTTTGGGCTCATAGGACATTTGGAATGGAGATCTCCTTGAAAGGGCCGGTGGTCCTGCTGTCATCCGTTCATTGGTCCGTTCCTTTGCTCACCCTGAGTTACTTTGTAAAAGGTTGCTCATTACATGGTCTTTGTTTCTACATGAATATGAAAAGTGATCTGAAATACACTAAAAGTTATGCAACCAGAATTGATGTGTTTTACTTTCTAAAGGCAATTCAATCCACCACACCTGTTCTTTGTTTAGTGCCAAAATAGTGGTTCATCTTCACCCAGCGCCACCTAACAGAGAACCTGGCCCGTTCCAGAGCAGTAAGAATTCCTACATCAAACTCTCCTTCAAAGAACATGGCCAGATTGAGGTAAGTTTCAACATGCACAAAGTTGGACTGGGACTATGTGTCTGTATGTTATTGTTGATTGTTCTTGTGGTGGGAGAAAGGAGGCGTTCTACTCCCGTGAGGAGTAAAGTCTCAGAAGCCCCCAGGGTTCTACTGACCTCGTGGCACTGAGTTTGGTTTTAAGGTGGTTTGGGTTAATATGACGGAAGGCAGTATTGTAGAGTAGATATCCCCATATTGTACATACTTGTAAAACTTCTTTTTAATGATATTTTTTAAGCCGTTTATGGGAGAGTGGTGGATAGGAAGTTCAGGTTATAGTGGAAATTGGAGGGTGTGGCCACAAGGAAGCCTCGGAATCTGGACCGAGGCCGGCAGATGGTAGTTTTCAATGGTATGGTTTGGTTCAAGGGACAGAGTCTGATGTAGTAAAACGTTTTTCCCTCCTTATGTTTGAAATGAACTCGTCTGTCTCTGAAGAGTCCAAGTCCACTTCCACTTTACTTTTCCTCCTTTTTCAGCCACTCAGACCGATATGTAGATCAGAAGCGTAAGGAATCTGGAGGCTTTTTTTCTTTTTGTTTTTCACATTTCTAAGAACATTTATGACATTCTAAATACACTTATGTATTTCTTCTTCTCTCTTTTTTTAATCATTTTATTAGGGGCTCATACAACTCTTATCACAATCCATACACACATCAATTGTGTAAAGCACATTTGTACATTCCTTGCC